GTTCTTCATAACTTTGAATGTTGAATACAGATCCTGTTACTATAGTTTCTGCATTCAGTTCTTACATAATGCAACTAAATACTGTGCAATATTTATGAAATACCTGTCTTGTGCTTATGCTGCCACTGCTTCCATTTCATAACACCTCTCTATCTCTCTTTTGAGAGAGAGAGGTTAAGAGAATAATGTTAATGTTTGTCAGCAGTGAGGATCTCACGGATATGTATCATCCAGTCATGTCAATATTTTGCAGCTGGTAGTGGTTTATCTATCATAACTAGGGAGATTACAAGGGGAATGTAGTCTATATATGGAAGGTGAATATGGCATTTATTGATATTAAGCCATGATTTTAATTAAGGAAGAAATACTCCACTAGAATTTACACTTTGCTTGCTCTCCATGGCAAAAAGCTAATCTTGTCCTAGTTTCATACAGTTTCCATTTCCACTGCTACAGATGCTTTCTCCCTGATTGTGAATTGGCTGCAAAGCTGATACCATCAATATTTTACTCACATGGCAATGGATCCTTTGAAACTCTCTGTGTAAAAACATAAAGTAGCGACGGTACTAACAGATTATCTTGACTGCTTCATAGTATATTAAGTGATGCTTCATGATAAATTGTTGGAGTTTATTGTGTGTAGAAAGGAAACAAAACTGTTGTACCCCTCTTGAACTGCTAATGTTACATTCTGGTTTAATATGTGTAAAACCTGCAGAAATACTTCAAAATTCAATTAGTACTCTATGCTTTACAAAATTTATTGAATTAATTATATGGTTGTAGAAAATTAAATACAGTAAGAAAGAATTATTAACATGTTAATTTGGTGACATAGTGTCCCTCATTAAACTCCCTTTCATGGCAAATTTTATGATTATTTTTGAGAGGACTGGAAATAATATGGGATAAGTATGGAAATGGAAATGGAGGAGAGGTATGGAAGATCCCAGATTGTTTCTAGATTAATGATTTGTTCAGATTCTTCAAGATGTATTTCACATCGAGGTGAATGAATGTATTTTTATTTTATAGAAATATCCCATTTCACCAGTATTGTATATTTCAAGAGATAATACAGAAGGAATAACTAAATTGCACTTCCTGTTTTTAACCTGTGCATGCAAGTGCAAATTCAACTTTTTAAATTTTATGTTTTTATCATAATAAGCATGTAAATTCATAGTTCATCTGTGGATGAAAGAATTTATACCAGGCTAGTGATCAAAATCAAACCCAATATGTTAGTCACATAATTTGTACAAAACCATTACTTTCAGCTTCATTTGAAACTTGACCTGGAAAACAAATAACACATGTCTCTGTATGAACTGGAGTTTCAAGCCTTCACAACAGCTTTTCCCACATTTTCTCCTCGTAGCATTCCTATGAATGCTTTTGCAATGTTGTCAAATCCCTCAGTCACAGTCTCAGGGTGTACCAATTTACCCTGTAAAGAAACATAATAATTGTATCTGTAATTCACATGTGTGTGTAGACTTAGAGGCATATGAACTTATTATTCTGTTTTCACCTGAAAGTGTCACTACATGATGTAAGATTCTTGTACATGCCATGACGATAACAATAGTAAAAGAAACCACAGGTCGATCATGAGCTCATAAATATTTCATTTTGTACAAATGACTTTATTCTTTGAAAATTCTTTACAATCATTATTTTGTATAGTATGTATTTGAGCTGGGATACCTCTTTGATCAACTGTAAGTTGTAGTTGATTCCTTCATCCCATCTGTCTAGCCAGCGTCTCACTATGAAACCTTCCATCTTTAACTCCCTGAATACAAGGGAAGGTTGAAGGATAGGAGCTGAAAATAAAACAGCGCAGTACAACTATACTGAAACAGTAGTACAGATATAAATATCCACAAAACTTGAAGGAAGGAGAGATATTATTTTTATATGTTTCTTGGAATAACATTTTTTAAGCTGTGAACAAGATTTGGCTGGCAAATATGGGTTTCCAGAGGTAGGTTTTGCAGTAGCAGTACAGAAAGTTAAGCGCGCGCGCGCTCTCTCTCTCTCTCTCTCTCTCTCTCTACTGTTGATATTGTTCATAGTTATTTTAATCCGGTTTGCCATGATATCTTAGAAGATTGTTGTTCATGTTATTTTGACATCAATACCTTAGACTTCTTGAACTAAAATTCCACTTTAAGTTATATGCATTTATTGATTTTTTCAGTGCATTCTACATTCATAGTTCATCATGCTTCCTTGATTAATCGTAACTCAGAACTTCCTTTTTAAATCACAAATACAAAATTCTACCTGACTGGTTAAATAATGGCAGCATATTGAAGGGAGGGTATTAATAGGCAATAGAATGTAAAGAATGACTTTCCATCAAATAAGGAACTTTAAACTTATTTTTATTAGAGCTTTTGTATTGCACATTCCCTCCTTTCCTGTTGATAATGCTCAAATTAAAAATTAATAAGAGAAACTCTGAATCAAGCATGCCTGTGTAACATACCTAAAGGAAGTTTGGTGTAATCCTCGTTATATGAAGAAATGGAGCCACACACTGAAATACGGCCTCTCTCTCTCATTTGTGCAATGATAGCACTACTCAGTGTGCCACCAACCTATAACACATGTAAGATTACAGTGTAAGTGATTTGCAGCAGCGGTCCAAGCGGTGGTGGTGGCAGCAGCAGTACTGCTACCGCTGCTGTGCCTGATGTCACGTCTTTTCATTTCTCACGTCCGACAAAGTTATGAGAAACTATGTGATAATACTGATAGTCTTATGCTTGGCTTACCTTTGTGTCATATGTTTGAATCTTGCTTATGACATGGATTTTTCTATGCATTTCTAATGATCACTGATCATACCACTCAGTACCACAAACTACCTAATTTGGTATTCTACCATTAGCTGATTTGCTAGTAAAACACCCAGTACTGGTATTATTAGGCAATTTCAAGAACTTATCAGCCCCTGTATTTCCTGAGAAAATTATCTAATAGTGAGATTATGATGACAAATTTATTTTCAGATGTACATTTCACATTACTTTAAAACCTTAGTTGTACTTTCTGAACTCACATTATCAAAGTAACAATCGATTCCATCTGGCGCAGCCTCTTTCAGTGCCTTTGTTATATCTGTCGTCTTGTAATTGAAAGCCGCATCAAACTTCAGGTTATTCTTCAGCCACTTCACCTTATCATCTGACCCTGCAAAGCCTATCACCTTGCATCCTGGTAGAAAAGAATTATCAGAGATAGCTTTATATCCTCTAACTGATAAATATGCTCCTTAATTTTCATATTTAAAGAAAATATAATTTTGATTGTCATTATAGCCACTACGACTGTAACAGCCATCACCATCAGTTCTAATGATTATGACTTTAAATTTGTTTTGGTTTCAAAATCAATCAACTCTGAATGCAAATCAGAAGTGCCAACTATTCAGTTATGTCTCATTACAGATGTTTCATGAAATACATTCAGTTCTGTTTAATGACTATATTCATCAATTTCAGATGATAATGTAGGCTTCGAGCAATTTGTAGCTCATTTTCTAAACCAGAGACAGGAATCTAATTATCTGTAAACAGGAGAGTGTCTACTTCTTTCATATTAGAGGTTTATTAAAAAATCCAAGTATATATATTTTTTTCTAAAACTATTCAAAACTGTTATTAAGTCTACTAACCTATCAAAGTCTGCAGTGATCGTGCGATTGTTGATATATGCTCAGAATTACGAAAATGCAGTTTTGAAGGGCAATGTCCTATTAGTGTGCTCTGATTACTCCCAGGAGTTAGTGAACCTACCTTTTATTTTAGCAAGCTGGCCAACATGGCTACCAACTGCTCCTGCTGCCCCACTGACTACCACAGTTTCACCAGGTTTCGGTTTACATATTTCAAGAAATCCAAAGTATGCTGTGTTTCTAGATTCACAAAGAGAATAAAATTTATGAGTATCACACCACACTGTAAAGTCAGTAAATCATTTTCATTTGAATTTATGAATTGTCAGTGGTTTATGTTATGTCTGGTTAGTGTTCACAAAAATGTCTTAAAATTACTGAAGATGGGCAGATTTAGAAGCTGGTGCTTATATAATATTTTTTGTTTCTGTTTTAAATTATTGGCCAATGTGTGAGGGTGACTTATAATGTGGGTAAAATATCACTGAAGTATATATATCCTTGCAAAGAAAAATGTTAAATGGCATCCCACATAAATGTAGCCAAAAATGTTATGAATCTGCTAAATTTTCTACTATAAAGTTTGCAGCATGCTGCTGGAGAATTTGGTTTACATTCCTCAGTGCAGAAGCACATGAAGGAATAAGTGTTTATCGGTATATGAGATCTCAGATGATATTGAAAACAGACAAAAGTGCTGTTGGCTGTCTTTCACACAAAGGAGTCTAATTTCAGTACAGCTCGGTTCTCTGTTCATAGTATCTCCCTCCAGCGTAGTTAGCTTCTCTTGTGTATAAATAAATATATAATTTCTTATTTGAGTTGGGATAAAAACAACAGATAAGGCTGTATAAGTTTCAGCTGATATGAATAAGTCTCCTAACAAACAGTATTCTTTGAATGTGTATTTTCTGTTACCTTATTTTTAGTGAAATTTAAGACTTCAGTCTGTTAATTTGCATGACTCTATATAAGTAAGTATACTTGAAACAAGAAATGAGATCTGTACTGTACTTGAGTTTTAAGATCCTTTACTAATATTTATGACCTCAGAAATTTCCTTACTGAATACAATCATTTGAAATTATAATGTAGTGGACTGGAATTGTAGACAATTTGAAATTAAAATTAAATTATTCCACAAATGTTCTTGCAAATGAAAAAGAAATTGGTACATACCCAGGCATGCCCAGGACTCCAAGTGCAAGTGACAGGGGTAGTCCTGAGAAATCAGGTATGATGAAGGGTTTTGACATCCATAGTATTGTAGGCGGATTGTCAATATTGATAATGCTCTTAGTTTGCCATCCAAAGTGACCTACAATGTGGATTCCAACCTTGTACTCAGGATGTTGGCTCTCAATAACCCTACAAAGAAATCATGATTATTTTTTCTCCCCTATATTACATGAGTTTTTTATCTGGGAAGTCTTTGAACATGGAAGAAATTGCATCCAGTAATAGAACCTTGAAATATGGGTTAGAGTTGACAATAAAGGAAATAAAATATTTGAGATTACTCAGTGTGGAATTAGCAGGTTACTGTAGCATTGGAATGAGACTTGCAATGTCATGACCCAGCTTTTTTTCATGGATTTCCTCACTCAATGATAACTCTGGGGTAGCACCATAAAGTAGGCTATGACCATGTCCTAAATCATTACCCCTACACCATTCATGATCGTGTTCTCATCTCGCTGGATGCTGTGTAACCTGTACTTAAGTAGCTTAAGAACTAGTCAGTGTGTTCAGGATAAAAATTGTTTTTTAATTTAAAACCTGCAAGAATAATTAGAAATACCTATCCTGTCGCCCTCCCTTTCCCCTGGTAACCTCTGAAGAATTTAAAGCATTATTTGTTCACAAATAATAAACATTTATATCACTGCTGCCTCATTCTTTCACTTTCTAGAACAGATTATTTTCTCATAATGTAATGGACTTTGGTAGCCCCTGCACTAGGAATACAATTAATTCCATATATATTATTATATTCATTTTTTGTTGCTTCATTAAAATTGTGATTGTTTATGTCTTAAAAGGATATGACTGAAAGTACCCAAGACAGGGGAAGGAATAGACCAAAACTAATTGTCCTTACCTTGCAACTTGTGATCCAATCATGGTGGTTCCAGTAGGAAAGTTGACTGAATATGGCCTAAAAGAAGAAAGAAATATTCAAGGGATACTGTATGGATCAGTCTGCATTAAATGTGAGACAGGCAACTGCATGAGGAAAATTAGTACCTAACTCCAAAGATCATATTCCTTAGAAGCTAATTGTCGCTCAGCTGGTCTTGAAGTGTACAGCCTTTTATTGAAACTGAAGGTTTATTACCACATTCACAAGACCCTGCCACTGGTCCCTTTCCTGAGTCAGATAAATCCAGTTTACAATACATTCTTACATCCTTTTTTGATATTATTGTCCCATCTAAACCTAGGTCTCCCACGTGGTCTTCCCTTTACATTTTCCAGGAGGAAAATGAGTAGGACTGTAGTGTGAAATATAATTTTATTTTATTTGGGATTTATTTCAAGGTTATATGTATATTGATTAATGCTATATTACTTGCCTATATGTGTATTATAAATCTTATAGGAATGTCTGAAATTGTGCTACACTTGTACTTTCTTATTAGATTCTTATGCAAGACAGTAAATGTTATGACATAC